CCATCCTCACCAACGGGCACCCCGGGGGGACTCGCTGAGGCTGCTGGAGCCCAGTGACCCCTCTGAGGCTTCACTCTGCCCTGCGGCACGCGGGCACCCGGGAGGATGGTGAGCGGCTCCCCAGCTGCTTGCTCTGCCCTGCTCCAGTAGTTTTTATGGTGAGGTGGTGGTCTCTTTTTGGGAGGGTGGGGGGAAGGACTGTTAGTTCTTGACTAGCAACGGGATCTGTACAAAAACCACTTCAGGAAAACGGCTTTTGTCTGCACGGGGTAAATGCAATAGAGCGCACTGGGCTGCGCCTCTAAGCCTGGCCTCGGTCCCGCTGCCGCGTTGCGGGGGGGGCTGCTGGCCGTCCCCTGGCACCTCGGTTGTGCCAGGGAAACTGCTGCCCCCCTAATTCTTGTACCTGTCTTGAAGAATCGTGTAGGACCTTTCCCCCCCTCGCCCCCAGTATAATGGTTTGGTGATTTTTTTTCTGCTAGATGTCTAGTGTGTGTAAATACCTCTGTAAATCTTTCCATTTTTCTCTCAGTATTCTCCTTGATCATTGTTTACAAAAGTAAGAGGGAAAAAATAAAAAAAATTAAAAAGGAAAAAAAAAAATAGCCAAAGCATCTAATAGGTTACAGAGCAGGGAGACAGGATCTTCTCTGTGTACTCTGCCTTGCAACTCTGCGTGGGGATACGAGCTCTGTAACCAGCCCTGTCCTAGGCTAGAGCAAATAGCACACGGCTTAGAGAATCACTCAGGTTTCCCCCGGCGCCAGCGTGGCACCGGGATCCAAGAAAAACAGGGATTTTTAGCTGTGAAGGGAAGCCACGTTGGAGAAGATGGGATCAATTTGCATCTTCTCACGTTTGCCATTGTGGGTCTTCCCGTAGCTTGACAATAATTACGTGAATTGCTGCCTCGTCGCCCCGCTGCCGGTGCTCGGCTCATGGGCGCTGGGCACTATGCATTCCGGGCGGATGAGGCTGCACACTAAAAAAGTCCTGCTGGAACACGGGAGCGTTGGAATGTAGAGGAAAAGCTGTCCCTCACGCGAGGGCGTCTCCCCTGCTGCCAAAGCCTTGAGTCTTGTGCAAGAGTGTCTGTGAGGAGACAGAAGAATGTAATCCATGTTTACTGCTAGCAACCAAAGCTTGTTTGTGTCAAACTCGTGAATTTTTTATCAAGTGGGTGGGAGGGAAGGGAAG